ATAAGGATCAAAATGTATAACTGATAATGTAAAATAGGAAGAAAAGGTCTAAGGGAGAAGGGCAACTGGGAGGGGTAGCAGAAAGGAAAGAAGAGAAAGTAAAAAATATGAGGAAAAAAAATGGAAACAAAGGTTTTGTAAATCAGGAGGGGTGCAGGGGTGGAAGGGAGGCCAGGGGAATTGGGAAAAAATAAGAACCAAGATAAGTCATGTAAAGAACCCAATGAGGAATGTCATCATATTGTATACCTAAACTGTACCAATAAACTCAATGAAAAAAATCTTTATCAGATTTTATTGACTGATAGGTATTTGGGTTGTCTCCAAGACTTAGCTATTACAAACTGCTGCCATGAACATAGATGTGCACATATCAGGACCAAAATGTATAACAGATATTGTGAAGTAGGAAGAAAGTATTCAAATGGGAAGGGTTACAAGGGAGGGGGGAAAGGGAAAGGAAGGAAAGAGAAAAAATGAGAAAAGAAAGATAAAATGGAAACAAAGCTCTTATAAATAAGAGGAGGAAGGACAGAAGAGAGGGGAGGGGAATAGGAAAAAATATCAATCAAGATATATCATGTAGAGTACAAATTCCACATGATGACTATGATCATTATGTATATCTAAACTGTACCAATAAACTTAACTATTGGTTTTAAAAAGTGGGAAGATTGGGCCCGGGATTTAGCTCAGCAGTTCAGTGGCCTGCCTCGCAAGTGCAAGGACCCGAGTTCAATCCTCAGTACCACCAAAAAAAAAAAAAAGTGGGAAGATTATGGGTAATTTTTACTTTATTTTTACTTGGCCATATTTTCTAAATATCATTCTAAAGATGTGTGACTTCTGTAACAACAACAGAAAGGAAAGTTATTTTTAAAATAGATATGTATGATATTTGCAAATCTGACTCCCAGACTTCAAGGGTCTCTTGATACGTCGCTGCCTCTTAAATCAGAATGTCCTAAGCTCTGGGCCCACATACTCAGCTGCCAGATGGGCATGTTTATTTTAATGTTCCAAAATTACCTTGAGCTCAGCATGCTAAGACCAGAACTGGTTATCTTTCTCTTTAAAAGTCTGTCCCTTTTCGGGACCAAGAGATGGAGGGAGAAGGAAGTGATGGGAGGGAAGGGGATGAAAAAAGAATTAAGATGCGTTATGTACAAATACCAACCCCTGATGAATGCAATCACTACATACTGCAAACATGTACTGACAAGGTACTTCCAGATTTCCAGGCCACCAGCCCTTAAGTGGTTCTTGATTATAATTAATCTTTGTCGGACACATGAAATCAGATAGTATGTCCTGCCTATTATGATTCCCAGTGTGCTCTTTCCTCTCCTCTTCTCTGCTCATAGGGACACCGTCTTTGTTCAGCCCTCATGGTCTCTCCTACAGCCTTCTGGATGTTCTTCCTTCCACCCAAGTTTCCTGCCCCAGCCAACCCCACCTCCTTCCATATGGACAGTAGTTATCTGTAAAAAATGGAAATATCAGTGGGCTATCTATGCCCACTTACTATAGGATACAGGCCAATACTGCATGACTTACATGCTCACCCCTTACTCTTTTCTAGGCTCATCTCCAGCAATTCCCGAAAGCACATTCTGCTCAGCTAAAACATAAAAATTCCCAATAAGCCGCACTCGTGGCTAGACATGTTCGTATGTGCGGTTTCCTCTCCAGGGAATGTTCCTCCCCATCACTCTAATGTTCTCAGATTCAAGACTCTAATAAAAATACTCCAAGAAGACTTACCTGAGTTATCCTGTCATAGTGGATAACCATATAATTAAACTAATAGCTACCAGGCATGGCAGCACGTGCCTGTAATCCCAGTATTAGGGAGGATGAGGCAAGAGAATCTCAAACTCAAGGCCAGCCTGGACTATATAGCCAGACTCTACTTCAAAAAGAAAATAACATCTTAAAATTTTATTAGTATTTATGACATTCCTCTATAAATTTTGTTTCTAAGACTATCTTTCCTAAGACAGAGTGACTTCCTGAAGAAGAAGACCCTACCATCCAAATTTGGATGGGGAGTTAGCTTGAAGCCTCTGCTCACGTTGAAGAAGCCAGGAGAGAAGTCAGGCAGGGCCAGATAAAAGAACAGAACCTCAACCATGACTTGCCCAAGTTCCATTCAGCAAATATCTGTAGAAGAAAAGAGTAGAGAGAATAGGCAGGCTAGGGTTGACTGTGATGCATCTGAGATCTCGAAGGGAATCTAACATTGATAATTCGTATAAAATGTCAACATAGTTCCACAGAGATCTTGTAGAACAATTATTCAAGAGAAATGAGCAATATTTTTTAAAAACAATCACTGCCAAGAGATTTTCTTTTCTGAACAGACAACATGGCATGGTGGAATAGTCATGCAATGTGAGTCAGGAAGCAACAATATTACTAATTTTCCAAATGCCCCTGGACACATTACTGACTGTATCTTCAGTTTCCTCAGCTATAAAAATGACAGGACTAGAAAGTCAGCAACAAAAGAATTCTTACTCTGAGCACTGTACCAAGCTTTTTGTTTACATAGATTCTAATTTAACCCTTAAAACCAGGTTAGATGAATGTCCATTTTGGAGGAGAAAAATGAGGCTGAGAGAGGTTAAATAACACTCCCAAGATCATATTGCTGATAAGGGGACAGCTGAGACAGAAACCTATGCCTTTGAACAACTGAGCCCAGACACAAATACAATGTCTGCTGCCTAATTTACATATGTCCTCATGGGTACCACTCGGGTTAGAAGTGTGGAGAAAAGACTGGCATCTGGAAGCTTGATGTGTCTGCTCAGAGAAAAGTATAGGCCCTTCTGTTATGAATTTTTATATTTCTCTCCTTCCATTAAGTCTCTACCCTCATTTTCCTTCCTCTGCTTCCCAGTCCCAATTCTAAGGCTCAAACCCAGAAGTATTCTACTACTGAGCTATATCCCCAGCCCATATCATTCAAGTATATATATATGGGTGTTGTTGTTGTTGTTTTTTGCACTAGGAATGGAACTCAGGGCCTCGTGTTTGCCAGGCAGGCGCTGCACCACTGACCTACATCCCTAGTTAATATGGGCTTTTTTTGTTTTTTGGTTTTTTGAGACAGGGTCTCACTAAGTTGCCCAGGTGGGACTCAAATTTATAATCCACTTGCTTCAGTGCCCCTAAGTACTGGGATTACAGGCATGCACCACCACGCCAGGTTTCATTTCCCATTTTCCCCATCTATAATTTTATTATATTACTAATTAAATGTTTGCATATAAACTACCTGACATCCTATTTTGTTTTATTCATTGCCCTGACATCCTATTTTAAATAAGATAGAGCAAAGGTTAATAGTGAGTAACTATGTGAGAAAACAAACTGCAAGAGTAATTTTTGTTTTGTTTTATTTTATTTATTTAGTTTTGCAGCGCTGGGGATCAAACAATGGGCTTCATGCATGCTAGGCAAGCACCCTACCATTTTTACAGCCCTCCATTCTACCAGCTGAGCTATCGAAGGGAGTGCCATTGATGTTTAAAAGTTAATAAAACAATTAAGTGAAAGCTTTTCTTTTGTTTTGCAATAGCATGCATTGAACCCAGGGCCTCTCACATGGTAGGCAAGTGCTCTACAACAGAACTACATTGTTTGTCTTTATATGTGAGGTGTGTTTTTTTTTAAATAAAGGTTTTTTTTTAATTTATTTTTATAAATTTATAATGCTAAATACTAACAAAAGAAATTAAACTATCAAACACATACATTGCTTGTTGTACAGTATATAAGTAGGTACAATTCTGTAGAAAAACAATTTGGGATTAGGTAAACGAAATCACAAATATATTCAAATCTTCTTGGAAGTTATCCATAACTTTTTCTCCCAAGTACGAACATATTCAAATCTAAGATATAAGACCAACTACATATAGAAATATATTTATTATAATAGTATAATAGTAAAAACATCAGAAGGAAACTAACTATATGATAGAATGGCTAAACACACAAGGATGTGCATGCCCCCTAAGGAAGACACTTCACTGTATGAGGCTTATACCTGGATTTTTGAACCACATGGAATAGCTAGCTATTCAAAGAGTCAAATAAATTAATTTTCAGAAGAAAATACAGACACAGTACTTATAGCTACATATACTTACATTTAAAACTAACATTCAAAAAGTAAATAAACAAACTAATATTTAAAAAGCACAAGAAGGAAATACTCCAAAATATTTTTAGAAATACAATTCTATGTCTTTTTACTGACTATATTTTGAGTCTGTAGAAATGTCACAGTGTAATATTTAGGTATAACTTTTTAAACTATTTCAATATTAGTTTTTAAATTATTAAAAAACAAATTTAGGAGTTTTCATTAAATGACCTTTTAAGTTTCTAAACTCTGAATTCTACGATTCTTAATAATTTCAGGGTAGAAATAAAGAGAGTATATTAAAGAAACCAATGTGGCTGTGCAGAAAAATTGAGTGAATTCGTGTGTAAATGCAAAACATTCAACTGAGGGCCAGGGATTTAGCTCAGTGGTTCCACTGCCTGCTTCACAAGCACAAGGACCCGAGTTTGATCCCCGATACCAAAAAAAAACAAAAAAAATTCATCTGAATAGAGCAAAAAAATTCAATATTCCTTCAAACACATCCATATACATTGTCATTGTAATCACAATTCAAGTAATCACAACTCAGGGACATAAGTGTATCTGGGTGTGGTGGCACACCTGTAATCCCAGCACTTGAAGGCTGAGGCAGGAGGATCACCTCAAGTTCAAAGCCAGCCTGAATTACATAGTGAGACCATATCTCAAAACAACAACAAAAATAAAGAAATATAGTTTAAGCTGCCAAGAGTAAGACACTGGGTGGAAAGAAATAATTATGATCAGAAAAGGAGCTTCATACTTTCAATGTATTTAATTTTTATTGCAGTCTCATAAAAATTATTTTCCCTTCTATGGGTAATATGTACCAAATGCTTACCTCCTTTCAGAGCTCTGCAGAAAGAATACTTATCATCATATCCTCTGCAAATAACTTCTTTGCGTATTGGCAGTTTCATGGAGCGCATAGATATATGGAGATTGAAGTATAACTTTTTTAAGTCCCTCCCTTAAAAATAAAACACTCCATTAGCCCCTCAGCTAAGAGATTCTCCTATGAAGAATATTTGTTGTACACTTTATATGTACCCTGTGCTCGTCCTATATTTACATTTCAGTCATCACAACTCTTCATAAGGTGGATATTATTATTCTTGTTCTATGGATGAGAAAGCTAAAGTTCAAAGTGGGCATCTTTGTGGTCAAATAGAATGTTCTACAGTAAGAAGTATGTGTGCTATGCCTAAAAATAGAGAAAATTTCATAACTTGATGGAGAAAACTCTCAAACAAAACAAAATTTCAGTGTTAGTTCTGCTAGAAAATCCAAAGGAGAAAAAAGAACTGAGGATAATCAACTCATGCCAACTTTTTAGGAGTTTTGATAAAATATTTGAAGATTGAATATCTTGATTACAAATTAAATATATGGGTGTTTTAAATTTCTTCATGATCTCCCTATCATCAAATAACATGGAAAATTCCAGCGTATTTTCCTGAATTCTTTCAAGTTATTCAATTGTCCCAAATGGGAAAAAATATACAGTATTTTTTTTTATAACGAAGACAATTATTTTAACTACTATCTCATTGAGAATGTTTTCCTAATAAGGTCACAATGAATCACTGGAGCCAAAGTCAAAACACAACTTTTCTATCTTTAACTTAGACTGAGCTATGCTTCACAGAATTGCCAGTTCCTTGTCACTCCTGTGAGGCTGATGCCACCACTTTCTTTCACTTGTCCTCCAACCTCTCTGACTTCTCAATGTATATTATTGCATCTTCTTCTTAAGGTTCCCTCTAAGTTTGCCCCAATTTTCATTCTGCAACCTCTCCCTGACATTATCATATAACTAACAATTTGGAAATCATCATCTTTAGATCTTTAATCTTGACCTTTCTCCTAGTATAGTACTTATCCCATATATTCACTCAACATCTCTACTCAAATGTTGCTTCATTACCTCATACAACAAATCTAAAATTTATTTCCTCATTATTATCTCAAAATTGACCCTAGAATTCCCATTACTACTAGTAAATCTTACAGCCTCCTTTTCATTCTCATCACCACTGCTTTAACACAGGTTCTCATTTCTCTGAGCCTAAAGTGACATCCTAATTTATCTCTACATCTCTATTTTCAGGGTAGGGTGTACAGAAGACCACTGTGGAGTTTGTTTTAAACAGTGGTCTCCATGGTCTGCTACATGGGCTTGGGCCTGACCCTCTCTTAAAGCGAGGCTGCGTGTTGAAGAGGAAGAGCTATTTTCATAAGGAATTTTTGGAGACAACAGATACAGAACAGTACTGCTGCACTGCCTAATGACAATGCAGAACCAAGGAACTTTGTCCATTTCTTCATGAAGCCCACCATGACTCTAATTTCAAAGACTAAGAAATTATGGGCCACCATGTCTGGCTGGCCGGGAATTTCTGGAGATGGGGTCTTGCTATGTTGCCCAGACTGATCTCAAACTTCTGAGCTCAAGCGGTCCTCCTGCCTCAGCCTCCCGAATGAAGAGCTGAAAGTACAAGCAGGTGCCACTGCACTTGCCCCTTTCGCTTTTCAAAGGTATCAGAATTGCAATCCAGTCTGAATACTCTCTATGCCTCGTCCAGCTTCCTCTTTTCTTTATTTCTCACAAGCAATTCCCCCGATAAAAATCTAGCATATGTAATCCCTTCTTAGCATCCGCCTTTCAGAGAATCCTAAGAAATGCCATATTGTTTTATTCGTTGGGCCTGGAAAGATACAATCTGCTTCCTATGAGGGTGAGGGATTCACTTGAAAGCAAGAGTTTCGTCATTCATTATATAAATCATCACTTATGACAAGCATCTGGGGTAAAGCATACCAAATAGTTCAGGAAACAGATCCTGGGAAAAAGGAGGAAAGTATAGGGCCTCAGCTTAACAAAACTTTGGGGTGTTTCTTTTACTTTTGGTGAAGAAGGAGAAGCAAACAGTTAACCATTCTTTGCTCTGTAAACCATTATGCCTGACTGCTATCATTTTATTTATGCCATGTATTTTTGTTGGTGGTGGTTTGTTTGTTTTGTGCGTACTGGGGATTGAACTCAGGACCTTGTTCTTGTGAAGCAGGCAGCGGAACCACTGAGCTGAATCCTCGGCCCTATTTATGCCATGTTATGTGCAGATCCATCTCTCCTATTGCGGCGACAGATTTTTTTTTTTTTTTTTTTTTTTTTTTTTTTCTTGGTGGG